CCCAAAAGACATATATAGATATTTGCAACTTTAGACTTCAAAAATATACTGTAGATATTTTCCTGGATGTGGTCCTCGTAATTTTCCTTCCCCAAATATTCCATTTCATCTCATCTCCTCTTCTAACCTCTAGTGGTTTGATGAGATTTCTCAGATGGAATCTGCATTCTTTATTTTATTGAGTAATCCAGGAGCTGTTTTTACCAGCTGCCATTGTTACTGCCATTAATCATTTTCTTGAATTTGCAGCTTTGTGATGGACCTATTGCTGGCTTTGCTGTTCTTCACAATGTTAATTGTAATCATGGGTTTATATATATAACTACACAAGTAAGGTTTTTTCATTTGTTTGATTTTTCTGTTTATGTGCTTCATTCTTTTGGTCATGACACTCACCTTGGCTGAATGGGGTTATAATTCAAGGGCACTCTAAAGATTTGCCGACTTCCACCTCACTTTTCCTATGACAACTATTGGCCAGTTCAGAAGGTATTATCTCTCTCTCTCTCTCTCTCACATTGCCTCCCCCCAAAAAAACATTATTTTCTTCCTTGCTTTCCACTTCCACTGTTCTCGTTGGGTCTGTCTCATGCCTTGGGTTTCTGAAGAATTACAAAAAATCTTGTTTAACTTTTAAATCTCTATTTATAGTTATGATTATGATCCTGAATTCCTAATGCTCCCCCCTCCCTATAATTAACTTTTTTCCCTGGGGGATATTTGGGCAGATTCCATTGAAGGGGACTCCACATCAAGTCACTTATTTATCTGACAAGAATTTATATCCGCTAATAGTTTCAGTTCCGGTAAGAGTTATGATTCCGGCAAGTGTTATGATGTACAGAGTATTAATATTTCAATTTACTGCTGCGTAATATTCAAGTCTTTTGGCATAGACCAGGGAATAAAATTTCTGAAGAATGCGAGTTAATATGTTTTTGTTTTATCTTAAACAGGTCCTTAAGCCCCTTAATCAGGTTATTTCTTCTCTGACTGATCAAGATGCTGGTCAGCAACCTGATCACGATAACTTAAATTTTGAAGGGACTTATCAAATTGAAGAGTTTGAGATTCGGATCATGGAACCTGAAATATCTGGTGGACCATGGCAGACAAGGGCAAGTGTTCCTATGCAAAGCTCTGAAAATGCTCTGACTATTAGAGCTGTGACACTACTTGTAAGTTCTAACAATGTCGTTTAAAATTCTTTCTTGTCCAAAAAAACCACATTTCATAACTGAGGCAATTTTTCATGTTTTTTTTCAAATCAATGCCAATATAAAAGTTACAAACAAGTACAATGTAATAAATATATTTTGATAAAAGTCCGGTGGGCCAAACATAGTGTGGGGGGACACCCTCCGTTTGTGCGGATATGTGCAATAGGCCCAACACAAAAGTCCATAGGGGTTCCAACCTAAAACCAATTGGCAATTGGAGGAGAGGCCATGGAACTTATATGTGGGTATTCTTTTTGCTCTTTTTCCAGTGGGGGAGAGAACTCCCAACACCGCCCCTCAAGTGCAATTGCCTGGCATTTTTTTCTCTTTCTTGCCTTTTGGCCGGACAGCCCAATAGACTAGAAGTTCAAACCCACTCCAAACCTGCTCCGATACCATGATAAGAGTCTGGTGGGCCAAGCATAGCGTGGGGGGGGGGAACACGCCATTCGTGCACATTTGCGCAATAGGCCCCACATACAAGTCCATAGAGGTTCCAACCTAAAACCAATTGGCCATAGGAGAAGAGGTCATAGAACTTATATGTGCAACTGCCTGGCGTTGTTTTCTTTCTTTCTTGCCTTGTCGCTGGCCAGCTCAATAGACCAGGAGTAGTCTGTTTTATGGAATAATGAATTTACTCACTTATGAATGTGTCTTTAGTATTTATAGAGTACTAAGGAAAATTTACACAAGAGCCCAATTACAACAACAACAACAACAACCCAGTTAAATCCCACAAGAGTAGGGTCTGGGGAGGGTGTGTGTACGCAGACCTTACCCCTACTCGAAAGTAGAGAGGCTGTTTCCAAAGAAACCCCCGGCTCAACGTCGAAAGTTGCATTGCTTGACTAACTGCTACTTCATTAATTAAAGAAGCGCAGACAGTTTAGAAATCCATTTTGATTTATTCCATCACACCCCAAAGCCAAAAAATGGTGAAATTTTGGCTCCATCGGAGATGATGGAAATTATTTAGTCGTCTAACATCCCCTCAAGTTGAGTGTGCAGTAGAGATGTCAATTTCTACTCAACCCTATGGATATCCGAACCATCTGACTCACTCTAACGGACAAGAACCCGAAAAGATATGGATGATTATATGGATGATGGACGGATGAGAAAAATCTCACGTGCATGGATCCCACTTATGGTATTAATATGCTAGAATGACTTCTTTTTTATCATCAAACTTTCCATCTGTGCTTCCAGAATACCACAAAAAGAGAAAATCAAACACTTTTGGCTGTTGGGACGGCTTATGTGCAAGGGGAAGATGTTGCTGCAAGGGGTCGTGTGCTTATATTTAATGTTGAAAGGACAAATGACAACACTCGGACCTCGGTATCTTCTCTACCATTTAGCTTTTCGTTCTTCTTGTCTTTTCAAAATCAATTATTTCATTATTGCTTACATGTCCTTATTTCTCAGGTCTTGGAAGCCTTTTCCAAGGAGTTTAAGGGTGCTATTTCTGCTCTTGCTTCACTTCAAGGTAATTTGTTGATAGCTGCGGGCCCTAAGATCATCTTGCACCAATGGACGGGTTCAGAACTTATTCCTATTGCCTTCTATGATGTCCCCCCTCTTCATGTTGTGAGCTTGAACATTGTATGTATCATTACACAACCTTCTTCTTGATGTCTGAAAATGCATATCACTCTTCTTTCTGACTCGACCTTCCTGGTGCATGGCTTTATCACCTTACTTTTGAAACGTTGAAAATACCAGGGAGAGAAACCAGGGATGAAGGAAAGATAATTTAGGGAGCATAAAAGATAGGCTCAAATCCAATAAATGATTTTGATATATTTCTTCAAATTCATATATAAATAAATATATGTTAGAAAAGTAAAAACTCTAAATGCATGCATGTTGTTTTTAAATCAATAATATTTCATTTCCCTTTTCATTTTCCAAAACAAAGCCACTCAGTATAAAATAACTTAATATTTCCCCTTTTCCCTAGTATTGTCAGTAAACAACCCCAAAACAGAAGTAGTGTACTCCCTCGAGTCTTGGATAACTGGAAGTGTTGTAGTTTTTGGACTCAAATAACACATTCGAAAAGTTTGTTTCAATAAATAAACATGGTGCAGTGAAGAAGTTTTTTCCACACCGACTTTGCAAAGCCACAAATTGCTACCATCAGCTTCATTTTCTTCTTCAAGTTTTGTAAGATAAACTAACTTATGCATGATTATATATTGCCGCACAATGTTTTTTAGGTGAAGAATTTCATACTTCTTGGAGACATTCACAAAAGCATATATTTCCTCAATTGGAAGGAGCAAGGGTCTCAACTCGCTTTATTGGCTAAGGATTTTGGGTCGCTTGATTGTTTATCAACCGAGTTTTTAATTGATGGAAGCACTCTTAGTCTTGCAGTCTCAGATGATCAAAAGAATATTCAGGTTTGCACTCCTACTCTGAGCAGAAGAATACATTGCTGCTCCTTATCCACTGTTGCTCCAAGTGAAGTGCCCATTTGTTGCCAATCTTTCAGAGTTTCTATCAAAGCATTAACTTGATTGACTTGGTTGACCAAATTAGCTGATAATTTAAAAAGTAGTGCGTAAAATCCAGTTTGGTAAGTCTTAAAGCAACTAAACTGATTTTCTTAAGTGGTGGTTGAATATGCTGAATTATCTTTTAAAAAATTAGATGGTGTGTGTGTGTACATAAATTGAAGAAAAAAACTATTTAAAAAAAATTTAAGTATCGACTTAAGCAAGTTCAGCTAAAAAAATGACTCAGCAATGAAACCACCATACATTCTCTGATTTTTTTGTGTGTATGTGTGTGTGTGTGTGGGGGGGGGGTTGTTGGATATACTTTTAAATAATTCAGCAACTTTACAACCACTTCAGCCATAATTTCAGTAAATTTTACCACTCCAAACAAGGTTTACCCTTGCCTGAAACCTTTTTCTTTCAACTCTGAATTTATGTTTTGATTAGGTTTGCTTCAATTTGGAATGTTTTAGGCCTTGATTGGTTTGTGGCACATCATCAGATTATAGTTTTTGCTCAAAATACAGATATTTTATTACGCACCAAAGATGGCAGAGAGTTGGAGGGGACAGAAGCTTCTGTCCAGGGCAGAGTTCCATGTTGGTGCCTCCATTTCCAAGTTCTTGCGGTTACAGCTGCTTCCAACTTCATCTGACCGAACTGGAACGGACAAAACAAATCGCTTTGCTCTATTATTTGGTACACTGGATGGTGGGCTTGGATGCATAGCTCCTTTGGAAGAACTCACTTTCCGTAGGCTTCAGTCTTTGCAGAAAAAGCTTGTGGATGCTATTCCCCATGTGGCAGGACTGAACCCGAGATCTTTCCGGCTGTACCGGTCTAATGGAAAGGCTCATAGGCCCGGGCCCGACAACATTGTAGATCTCGAATTGCTTTTCCAGTAAGTGGTGGGGGCCCGGTGGGAGTAGTAGTTTCCTATTTTGTCTCTTAGGACCCCTGCTTTCTGAAAAAAATGTGTATTTTGATTTCGTTTTCTTAGAGGTCTTGTCTGGTCTAAATCTTTCTGTTTGAATATTTGCGGTTTGGTTTGGTCTGAGATTTTATCTACCTTCCCGTCTCAAATTTTGTGTTCTGTCTATTTTGGTCTATCCTTTCCAACCTTATTCAGATAATCAGATCTATACCTTTTAAGCTGGGGGTCTATCAAAAACTGTCTCTCCTCCCTCCACGTGCTGAGGTGAAGTCTGCGTACATCTTAGCCTACCCAGACCCCACTTGTGGGATTTCATTGGGTTTTTGTTGTTGTCTAGTATGGTCTGAATGTTTTTACTCTGATCTGAATACTATTGATCTTATCTGGTTTTCTTGTTTGAAATAATGTCTGCATTTGTTCTAGTCTTGTCGGACATGAATGATTTTGGCTTACTTTGGTCTGAATTTTGGTCACATGTGAATCTTTCTTTACTTTGGGGGTTGATGTGCAGTTATGAGATGCTGAGTTTGGAGGAGCAGCTTGAGATTGCCCAGCAGATTGGAACGACTCGCACCCAGATTATGTCCAACCTTAATGACTTTACCATTGCCACAAGCTTCTTCTAATCCTAATACTGTAAGTCTGTACTACATTTAACTGGAAAACACAAGGGAAAGAAAAAGTTACCCTCATCTTCTCTGTATATGTATATATTTTCTTTCTTTTATTAGAAGAAGAATTAAACCATCTTGTATTGATGTTGTGACTCTTCTTGCTGCTGAAATTGCGCAATTTTGACGTGGTAAGAGGGAAACTAGGAAATCAGAGTGTTGTAAGGGACAGTTTCTGATCGATTAAATTTGCTATGTGTTACGAATCAAATCATGTGGATCAATGTTAAAAGTAATATCACACCTTGATGGAATGAATGAATTGCTGAGTTCTATAATGTGGAGTATGCGTTGTAAATTTGTAATGACGTGGGCGTGTTTTGGTATTTCTGCTTGTGATCTTACATTATGTGCAAATTATATCTGTATATTTGGATGCACATTATTGTAATGTTTTACTCCCTCCGTCCAAAAAAGAAGTTCCCGGTTTGACCCGGCACGCATATTAAGGTGTGATAAAAATGGCCTTGACTTTCCAATTATACCCCCACACCTCAACACTTCTCCAACGCTAAGCCTCTCCAACATATCCCTCCGTCCATCATATCTGCCCTTGCAACCACCAGCAAATGACCCTCAAGCACCGTCGACGGCAAATCTCAGGCACCACCAACGGCGGATCTCCGGCGTCACCACCATGGATGGCCTCTCTAGCGCGTGCCTGTTTCCCCCGGCTCTTCTGTAATCCCCACCTTTTAAATCTATTCTAGTTTTCGTTGAAGACAACCTGGGCAAGGGTGAATATCTTGAATCCGAGAGTTTAGCGGCGAGAGGAGGGGTTGGGAGCAGATCCAACTGCGGAGATCTACGGAATTGATGGAGGACTTGTAGATCTATGGAATTCATGGAGACTATATTGGAAGAGGAGCAGATCCACCCACCTCCAACCATTGTCTTGCTGCTCCGGCGTTACCTCGATCGCCATTTCTGTGCTCCCAATCAGTAGATGATAGGACAATTAAAAGGCGGAGAAAGAAAAAAAGAAGAAGAAAAAAAGAAGAAGAAAAAAAAAAGAAGAAAGAAGAAGAATACGAAAGCAAAGAAGAAGAAGAAGAAGAAGAATGAGAAAAGAAAGAAGAAGATGAAGTACAGTGACGGAATGAAGAGGATAAGGACACAAAAGAATGGATGGTGGTGGGTTGACCGACTGGGAAAAGAAAGAAAAAAAAAGAAAAGATAAGGAATGGAGAGTGAGGGTAGTTAAGTCTTTTCACTATAAAAAAAGTTTCCAAAAAAGGAAACGGGAAGTTTATTAGTGGACGGACGAAAAAGGAAAGTAAAAAGTTTATTTATAGACGGAGGGAGTACATTTATCCGTTGTTTCTCTTGGAAAATGCTTTTTTTTGTGTGTTTTATCTTTACACATGTTTCTTCTAAAAGAATGCTCATTTGGCAATAAGAGACTTGTTTTTATTTTTAAAATTGGATGTGATTTATATCTACTGCTACCTAATGTATTTTTGTACTTTGTATGGGAAAAACTTGTGCAAGGATGTTCAACTTTATTTTTCTTTTCATAAACATGGGGTTTGGGGCATTCTTGGAGACAACGATGGGGGAATTTGAGATAAGTCCATTTTGTATTCGGTATTCCTATTTCCTTCTCATCAACTACCCAAGTACTCTTAGGCCCCGTTTGGTACACGGAATTCAAACTATGGAATTGGAATTGAAGACTTCAATTTCAATTCTGGTGTTTGGTAGCACAAAAATTATGTGGATTTGGAAAGGATAGTGCAAAAAATGAATTAGAATTGGTGAATTTAATTCTATGGAATTGAATATCATGGAATTTCAATTTTAATTCAATTTCAATTCCATCAATTCCGTATACCAAACGGACCCTTAGGGTCCGTTTGATATATTGATGGAATTGAAATTGAATTGAGAGTTGAAATTTTATGGAATTGATTTGGATGAAATTGAATTTCTCAATTCCAATTCATTTTAGGCACTACCGATTCCAAATTCACATTTTTTTGTATGCTACCAAACAATAGAATAGAAATAATTGTTTCCAATTTCATAGTTTGAATTTTGTGTACAAAACGGAGCCTTAATGATTCTTATAGAGCAGACAAATTTTTACATTAAAATTGGAGAGAGAACTAAACGCCCATGGAAATGAAATCATATGAAAATGCATATAGGATGGATTCCTTTATCAATTTTGTGCAATACACGCATATTCAAAAGGGTATAAAAAGTATGTGCATGTATACTTAAAACATACTGTAAAAAGTAACCAATCATTGCTAATACTTTGCAATGAATGAAATCGTTGAACTTCTGAACTCCTTTGGCACTTTGCAATGAATGAAATCGTTGAACTTCTGAACTCCTTTGGCTTGAATGGTAAAAAACCATTTCTCAAGATTCATGAAAAAACTCATCCAGTTTTGAGCCATGTTGAAGCATCGACTCTTTTTACATCATTTGGTTGATAAAAGTTAATGAATCATTATTACTTTGTAATTAAATCAATGAGTAAATTCCATAATTGGTCCTTTATAATAGGTGGGTTTCCATATTTAGTCCTTAATTATCAAATATTACCCCTGTAGTCCTTTTTTAAAGATACCTTTCCACAAATGGTCCTTTTTTTGATCTTCTTCCGTGTTGGTGTTAATTTAAAGGCTAAAAGTATAATTTGACATCAACATTATGTCTAGTGACGTGTTCTGATTTTGGTTAAGCGGATAACACAAAAATAATGACTATGATTGTGGGTTAAGATTCTGACGAAAGACCACATTTGTAGACTATGCTGGTCGTAAAAAGCGACTGTAATTCACAAATGACGCAAGCGGAACAGCATTTGGAATTGTGTATGACAAAAAAGATATATTATCATTGTGAAATTACGTTTTTAGCCCTCAAATTAACACCAACATGATAGAAGATAAAAAAAGGACTATTTGTGGAAAGATACCAATAAAAGAATGACCACTGAGGTAATATTTGATAATAGAGGACTAAATAGGGAAACCCCCCTATTATAAAGGACCAATTATAGAACTTACTCTTAAATCAATAGTACTAAAAAAAGAAACTAAACAAACCAATCGAGCCATATATTCAGTTTCATGGAGTCTTAAAACATGTTGGAAAATGGAAATTTTGAGTAAAAGTCATGGAGTATTTTGAAAGAGATTTATCATGAGCACCAGCTCTTTCTTTAAAAAAAAATCAAGAAAAATATGATTTTTCTTTTAGAACAGGGGAAAGAAGTGACAAACAAAATGTGAAATTCATGCTCGTAAATAGTAGTACATCATATACAAATAAAACAAAACAAAACAAAAACACTTTGCACATACGGCAGAGTATTATTGGGATGCAAATGGCACTTTTAGGATGAGTGATTGCTCATAACATTTCTCATTAATACCACCAACAATTTGCCAATTCAGAGTTCGGGCAGAAATCGCCGTATTCGTAAAACCCGAAACTATACATAATGTACCTTATATGTAGTAATATGTATATACACAGACACAAGAAATTTGACCTTTCAGCTGTGAACCAAATGAGCACTTGCCAAAACTTGGTGATATGTACTTACACACCTTTAATGCTACCTAGCTGAAGCTTCTCTGTTACAGTGGATGGTTGAATTGGTAGGTTAATTCAGTTAAGTACTCGAATTATAATAGCCTGTTATGTGCCTCTATCATGGCAGCTTTCTCCTGCAATAAAAGAACATATTAAGAAACTTTCTAAAAATACGTATTACAATTTTTTTTCCAAATATACGGTAGTATATTTATTCTATAAACAATCACTTAATCATATTTATATATTTTACTCTGATTAAAAAAAACTTATCTTGTATTTTCATGTCATTTCATATTGATTAAGCGCTTTATAAAGCTATAAAAGTAAGAAGGGGAGGGGGGGGGGGATCATGGTAAAAAAAATACAAATATAAATGGGTGATTGTTAACACCATTGATAAAATTATGTGAATGTCATTAATGTAAATTTATAGCTGAAATAAGTTAAGTGATACGAGTAATATGATCCTCACGCGGGGAAATTCATCACCATCAACACCTTAATACCTAGACCCTAGTAGTTGGGGTCGGTGGGATGAAGTTTGCATGCATACATACCTCATCTTGTGGGATAGCCTCAGGTGGAAACCAATGCATAAGAACTCCTAGGTGCATCACAGCAGGTATAAGTTTAAACAAGATAGGAGTTGTTACCTGTGTGACATTTGAAAATTGCACATCAAACTATGAGTAAAATAAGGGAAGAGTTTTGGGAACATTCGGTGAATAAAAAAAATTGAGGCTCTTACAAGACTCAAAGCTGTTGTTCCAAGAAGAAGAAGGTATATTTTCCCCTGCACAAATAATATAACCTTAATTAGAACAAGTCAGTTTATCATTTGGGAAATTTTTTTGATACCAAGATTAATTAATCAACATGAAATAAAAACAAATGTTCTCTGTCCCACAAAGATAGTTCATAATCTTTTTAAGTGGAAACAATTCATCTTGTATGCAATTCTCATTTTTAAAATTTCCAGTGCAGACATGGATGATTAAGTGATGGCAAACATGGAAGTCAAAAATAAAATGCACAAAAACTACCGTTGTGAAATGAACCAAAACGGACAATTATTGTGGGACGGAGGGAGTAACCAAGTTTGGTTTCTACAAGTTTGCCATCGATTCAACATAGAAAATTTATTCTGAATAGTGTATGTAGAATGGAAATTACCCCGACAATATTTAAGTTTGACGCACGACTTAACAAAACAAATGCGAATTCTCCAATCTGTGCCAGCAAAAGTCCAACCTGCACAAGTAACTCATCATTAATAATAGAACCGGATGTGTATGTTTTTATATTAATTATTATCTGACAAAACAATTGAATGGCGAACTTACAATAAACGATGTTCTAATGTTATACCCAAATGCCTTTGTAACTGTAGCAGCGACAGCAGTCTTAACCACAATCACCAGAATAACAGATGCAAGCAATATATCCACATGCGTCCACAGGAAGTGTACATGTATGAGCATTCCGATACTAGAAAGGAATAGAGCAGCAAAGAGGTTACGGATGGGTTCCACCTGAAAAGATGCAATTGTCAATCCAAATATTTTTTCAGGTTGTAAATACTAAACGGGCTCTGAAGCCCACATGTTTCTATGCTATTTGGACAACAAAATCGGTAGTATTAGTATAAGTGTCAGGTCAGTCAATTTTATTATTAGTTACTCCCTCCTTTCCCAAAATCCAGACCCTACTGTAGTGGG